GCGCCGCCGCAACAGTCCTGCTAGTAGGTCCACAAAGTAAAGTGAAACCCGACAAGGACTACGACAGTGAATGCATCATCCTGACAGTGAAGCACAGACGTCTCTTTGTGGTCGTTTTGTGTCTCATTGTGGTCGTTTTGTGTCTCTTTGTGGTTTTGTGTCTTTTTGTGGTTGTTTTGTGTCTCCTTGTGGTTGTTCTGTGTCTCTTTGTGGTTTTGTGTCTCTTTGTGGTTGTTTTGTGTCTTCTTGTGGTTGTTTTGTGTCTCTTTGTGGTTGTTTTGTGTCTCTTTGTGGTCATTTTGTGTCTCGTTGTGGTTGTTTTGTGTCTTCTTGTGGTTGTTTTGTGTCTCTTTAAGTTTGTTTTGTGTCTCTTTGTGGTCATTTTGTGTCTCTTTGTGGTCATTTTGTGTCTCATTGTGGTTGTTTTGTGTCTTCTTGTGGATGTTTTGTGTCTGTTTGCGGTTGTTTTGGCTCACTTTGTGGTCAATTTGCATCTGTTTGTGGTCGTTTTGTTTCTCCGTGTCGTCATTTTGTGTCTCTTTATCTTTATTGCGTTTGTCTTTGTGTTGTTTTGTGTCTCTACAAACCAGAACTACCACAGTGAACGCAGAACTGAAAAATAAGTTTGGGCTCAAGAAGAAAAATCAGTCTTAGACTTCTGAGTTCAGACAACTGAAAGATTTATCTGAATCATGAAGTTTGCGGTTATTAATGTGTTTTAGCTTCTGTAATCGACCCTTCAGACTGTTTTTACCCTGTGAATCCCTGCAGCTGGATCGTTTCTCCCAGAACAGACAGGAACTCCTGAAACTCTTCGCTCTCCTGGTTGTTGCTCAGAATTTCCTCCTCAGTGAACTGCAGACGGCCACAAAGTGGTCACAACACATTATTTTTCTTTTAAAATAAAAACACGGGATGTCGTGCCGTTAAACCTCGTCCTACCTGCCCGTCCTTCTGGTACAGAACTCCAAACTTGAAATTAGGAGAAACTCTGTGTTCATCAAACGTGGTTATCAGTTCTGGAGCCTGAAGGAGACGGAAACAGAAATCGTTTTAAAAGAACCGAACTGCTGCTTTGAAACAACTTCAGACGAATGTTCCTCCTCTGTTGACATTTTCAGGAAAAATCTCCAGACTGACATGTTTTCAGTTGCTTCTGGTTGCTCTTAATGTTCTGTCATTTTACTATTTTACATTTATTTCATTTATAAACTGATTTTACAGGTTTTATCCAGTTTTCTGTTTTGCTTATTTGCACATATTTTCAGTGTCTTAAAGGACGTGCAGCACTTTGCTCGGCTCAGGCTGCTTTTTTAAAACCACTAAAGTGGATTTGATTAGATTTGACTGTCACCTGTGATTCTCCTGCTGCGACATGTTTCAGGTGTGAACTAGTTTTTTTGTTTTTTTTTCTACAGCGATCTCAGATTCTCACCTTCAGGTATCCGACAACGTCAAACTTGGAGACGTTCACTCTGTCGCACAGCATCTGCAGAGGACAGGAAAAGTCGCATTTACTCATTTTCTAAGTGCTGCGCTGAGCTACAGTTTGAGATGTCGATTCATGTCAGTCAGATTTCAAACAAAAGCAAAGCAGACATAAGTTTATCTAAATATGATGCTGGAAACATGATCTGTGAAACTCTAGAGTCTCTAAAGTCACGACTTCTTTTGCCAAACATTTCTGTTTGTCTGTATCTTCATCGTCTTAGACGTAAAATTAGCCGGCCGTTGATTTAAGACTGACTCTAATTCATGTAAAGGCGTCGACCTGTGGGTCAGGGTTGTGCTGAACATCTGCTGTGGAGGGAAACAGAAGAACAGAACTTCTGTTTCAGGCAGCAGCTACTTTCATCTGTTTTCAGTAGGAATAATGAGAGATAAAAGCTAAATGATGTGCTTTATAAACGTCTATCTGTCATTTCTGACCATGAAAAAGTGAATTAAAGCCACGACGTAGTTCACACACAATGCACCGATCAATACAAACATTTAGAGTCTATTTAGTGGTATTTGTGTTGTTACTGACAGCACTACTTTGCACCGTTACTTTAACTTTGGAGATAAATGCTCTGACACCTTTGCTAGTTCGACGGCCGACGGGATGTTGGGGAACAGAGACAAAGAGAAAACTCCATGCAGAGAGCACTCCTTCATCCTGAGAGACA